AGTTGGAGGTTGCTGTGAGCTGTGATGCCATGGGACTCTACCCAGGGGGACAGCTTGAGGCTCTGTCTCAAAAAAAAAAAAAATGCAGTGTGAGATGAGCTAGAGGGGCAGGTGCAGCAGATAACCCAAGGCCTTGTTTTGTCATCATGGTAAAGAATTTGGTTTTTGTTTTAAGGAGAATTTTAAGCTGGGAAATGACATGACCTAATTGACACTGGCTGCTGAATGGATAGTGGATTCTTAAGAGACTAGAGGAGGAGCAGGGAAATCAGACAGTTATTGTGGGAGACGTTGGCTTGGCATTGAAGATAGAAAAAGAAATGAATAAATTTCGGCAGTAGGACCAACAGATTTATTGATAGATTAAATGAAGGAAAGGGTGAAATCAAAGATAGCTCTTGAATTTTATTGAATGAACAGCTGGGTGAATGAATATTGATGCCATTTGCATTTATTATAGTTAGGAGTAGGTAATTGAGTTTTGTTTCAGACATACGAAGTTCAAGGAATTTATTATGTAAGTGGTGACTCATCGTATAAGTAGCAGCATCGGTATGTAAATGGCCACAGGCCTACATGATATATTATCCCAGGGAGGGAGTAGTAAAGATCCAGAAGGAATAAACATTCATTTCCTATTTCAGCCCCTCCCCTCATGGACACAAACTTACAGGAAAATGAATTTTCTTTTTTCTTTGGTTAAGTCAAGTCAAGGCTTAATTTTATAAACAAAAGGGACTGAATTATTTTGATTTAAATATTCTGCTTAACTCATTTAAGTAAGAAATGAAATTTTTATTGTGTGTTGTATGTTACTCCTTATTTAAATGGAACACATTTATTACAACTTAAGCCTGTGTTAACTGAATTATTCTTCAAATTTTAGTTGTACATTACTTTTGTAAATAATAAAACTATGAAAATATAAAAAGACTATTGTGGATTCTAGTTAAAAGCCTAGAAAGATAAATATAGTACTTTTTCTCTTATTCTTCGGGAACAGCTTTTTTGGATACTTCAAATGAAAAAAAACCTTTTTTTGAGACAGAGTCTCAAGCTGGCACCTTGGGTAGAGTGCTGTGTAGTCACAGCTCACAGCAACTTCAGAGTCTTGGGCTTAAGCGATTCTCTTGCCTCAGCCTCCCAAGTAGCTGGGACTACGGGTGCCTGCCACAGTGCCGGGCTATTTTTTGGTTGTAGTTGTCATTATTGTTTAGCTGGCCCAGGCTGGATTAGAACCTGCCAGTTCTGGTATATGTGGCTGGCACCCTAGCTGCTGAGCTATAGGTGTCGAGCCATTCAAATGAAATTATTAGTAAAATATAATATTGCTTTTAAAACTAGTGTATTAGACTGGGCATGGTAGCTCACAGCTGTAATTCTAGCACTTGGAAGCCAAGGTGGGTGGATTGCTTGATATCAGAAGTTAGAGACCAGCCTGAGCAAGAGCGAGACCTCATCTCTACTAAAAATAGAAAAATGAGCCAGGTGTAGTGGCATTGACCTGTAGTCCCTACGACTTGGGAGGCTGAGGCTGGAGGATCTCTTGAGCTCAAGAGACTGAAGTTACTGTGAGCTATGATGATACCAGGGCACTCCACCCAGGGCAATAGAGTGTGAGACCCTGTCTCAAGAAAACCCAAAGCAAACAAATAACAAAAAAAACCCTAGTATATTAATTTTATATTGTCACTTAGTTTTAGTTTCTTAATTTAGTTTCATTTGTTGAAGAATGCTTCTGCCTGGTTTCTTTATTTGATTTGTGAACTAATAGATAACAGTGTTTATATTTTGTGGTCAAATTTTGGTGTTTTTTGGAACAAGAGAGTCTTGGTATTTGAAAGAGCTCAGGTTCTAAGAAAATGTATAAACCTTATATATTTAATTTAGATAGAAAGTTTCCAGGTTAAGATGATGGACTGAATGCCCATTTTTATTTCTCACTCCACTATTGCTAAGATCTTATTGAAGTTTTAGTGTCAAAAAATAACTAAAGGAAACAAATCTCTAAAAGTGCTGTAAAAATTGGCAGGGGTATAGATTTTCCAACTGGAAGATGAAAACTGGTGTGGTTATAGTGAATTACAAATAGAGAAATCCAAAGCCCAGGAGAAGTCAGCATTGCAGGTGGGAGCTGTTCCACTCTGCATTGTCATGGAAGAGATATATCCGTAAAATAGGGTCCTGTGAAAAAGGAATATAACTCCTCGCTTAGAGTTGACAAGGATAAAAAGCAAGAGTGAATTGTTAAAGAAAGTAGTGAGCACAATTAAATAAAGATGATTTTGGAGCAGCTGAGCCAGCTGAACAGTCCCAATCCTTCAAATCCCCAGTACTTCCTATCCTACCTCCACACAGACAGCAGTTGTACCAAAAACATTTGTTCCCTGGGCTGAAACTTGAAGAATTAATCTCATGAACACAGAACTGCCTGCCTCAGTTGAGTTTGAGGATTTCAATATGATCCAGAACAATCTTTCCCTGAATGGGCATTTGTGTTCGTGTGGAAGAGAGGCAGACCAGACTGGCTACATACTTAACAGCAGTACCAGCTGAAGTTAGTGTGGCTCAGCCGCTATGCAGAAGTTGTAGTTAGCCTCCCACAAGAGGGAAGAACTTTCTTAGGAAAATAGACCTGCCTGCAAGAGGCCCACATAAACTCTGTATGCCGAGCAGCTGAGTCCAACACTCATAAACTTGAAGGGACAAGATGTCCTTTGAAAAGCTGTATCATGAAAGACAAGGAACAAGGTGAATAAACAAAAGATCTGACCCAAGAGGAAGTAGTAATATTTCTAGTAGCAGAGAAGAACAATAAAACAAAGTTCTAATTAGCATCCTTTGAGATTCCTGAAGCTTCCTGAGAGGAAATAATGTTCGTAAAGTAGGATCCTATGAAAAAGGAATAAAGAAAAAAATTATCCGAAGTTTAAAACAAGGTTGCCAAAAAAA